CCTTTTCTTATGAGGTCCAAACATCCGTGCAACCAGCTGGCAGCTTACCATGCTAATTATGCTTCCAAACAAGCTGCTCAGATGTCTTTATACAGTAACCCAACATGCAGCATGTTTTCTGTACACTGTCTTTAATCATTTACCAGAAAAAACATATACTTAGTTTTATACTTATTCAAATACAAACTTTTTTTTAACCACTTAGGGTGACCTTTGTAAGAAATCAGTCAAATTTAAGTGCACATTCACGATTCTGTACTTGTGAAGACCTTAAATATCTCATTTTGACGGATCTATATTCATTACACATGTTCTTCAACACCTTAAACTCAGTAAATAGAATGACAACAATACTATAAATATTACATGAAAACAGCCAAAAATGTCAGAAATACAAAAAGAGAAAATTTTAATAAAATTTAATGTAATCATCTTTGGCATTTTTTACAGGCCTATAGTTTACTTTTTTCAAAAAAACAACTGTAGTCATTTCATAATGTGTGTTGATTTTATCAGACCATTCATCTAAGTGTCTTTGACTAATACTTTGATGCTAGCTGGTGATAAAGAAGCTCTCAAACGATACATATAAATGTTAATTACACAATATGTGTGGATATGTGTACTGTGTGTACTATGTAAAGTGTTTCAGATATAAACCGTAAAGAGATGTAATGTATGGACCATCTTTTTAGCATCTTTCAGCTCACTGTTTTGTTTTTAAGGCGTTCAATATACTGTTTTGGTTCACTTTCACTGCTCTAATTAGTACGCTTTCAACAGCAGGCAGCTGTTTTCGGTTTAAAAAAATTCAAAACACAGCTGTACACTACCAGCAAAACAGCAGACAGAAAAAATTTGGCAATTAACTGGCAAACACAGTGGATCATTTAGTAGCTAGAAACAGATATTGTCCTCAGGAGTTGGTGGAGACCAAATTATAGCTACAAGTAGAGTGGTTATCAGGTGGATGCAAACATACTGCAAGTAATTTCTTGGTGTTCTGTGTTTTTCAAAATCCAGTGAAAGTGATAAATAACTCATGTCAGGTTTTTGTTTCCATCTTGCAAACAACAACAAATTATAGCAAAAACAATCCAATCTCACGTTTTCATTTCGGCAGCTAAAAACAAGAAAAGGAGTTTCTGCACCCTGAAACACCAAACAACCCAAACCGAGAAGGGCACGGCGGCTGTGAAAGTTAACAGTGCGTAACACACAAATTATGTGTGTGTGTCAGAGGAAAAAAGTGCAAGTCAACACATGCACAATCATGTCTCGGTGTGTCTTGTGTGTGTGTGTGAAGCACCTGCTGCGTTGCTGCAGGAAGCACCTGTCAGCAGTCGTCTCCGCGGTGCAGCCCCTGTCGACATGAGGGTTTGATCCCAAAACTCCCCAAACACACACACTTACACCGACACTAACAGACAACTTAAGCCAGTGGCTCGCTCTGCAGCAGGGGCTTCGCATAGTCTGCGGCTTTGCTCCAGTTAAACTGACAACATGTTCTTTTCTGAAGCGCTGTGGATGGGGGTAGGCTCTCTGTTTTGGTGGCATGTGGGAAAAAAGGAGATCAGATTCTTCTTCTGCAGAACGGGAAGCAGCAGTGTGTGTGTTTGTGAGCGTGTGGTATTATGTTTACAGCCTGCCGAGGGCACGTTTTACGAGAGGTGATTCCTCCTGTGTTGCAGCCAGAGCCAAAGTTCAACTAGACTTCTTGCAAACACACCAATTTGCTTTGTCCTCAGACACATACACACACATTTAACACTATTCTCATCCCGTCTACACACACACTCCAAATTGTTGCCTCGCACCCAAGAGCTTAAGTCCAAGTTCAGAAAGTCACGCTGTTTTCAGGATGCACACACACAAAGACACGGGGGCTTCTGTTAACCTGAGAGGCAGAGGGTCAATCCCTGTGATCCTGCAGCCTACATGCCTTCCATACAGACATGCCGCCGACACCGCAACCCGACTCCCGGCCAGATTAGGACTAATCAAGCATGGCACGGCTCAGGGCAGCAACGGCATGACACACACATGTAGACAAACACATGGATATACTGTACTACAAACATGTGCCAACCCTTCCTCTTTAAAATTTCTGATCAACTATTTGCCAAAAATATGACCACAGAGAGAAAAATAATTTCTTGCATCAAGTATCATTATTAACAGTGTATGCAACATTTTATAATGTGGATTTTGCTCCTTGTTTCGGTTTCAGTCTGTTAAATTTCCTGGCAGTTTTTGATAGTTCAGGTTTTATAGGGTTAATGCTTTCCTACAGAACATAAAATGTCTGAATATACACAAATTCCATACCAGTGAGAGTCTATCCCTCAGAAAATGTGGCTGCTGTATTGAAAGGTCTAATTTAATGTCCAGGTTTGTCTTCCTTCACTTATTTTTGGCACCATGTAACAAATGTGCATGACACTCTTCCAGAAGTGAGTAGGAAACACCCGCAAACAAAGAATGAGCAGCTGCTTCGTACTCTGACACTTTTATATACTCTCCAGATTCACTTCTGTAACTCAACAAGTTGTTGTTGATATGACTCTTGTGCATTTCTGACATCTGAGGAACTGAGGATCCAGTGGATTACTTTTATTTTTGACTTCCTAACCACAGCAGAAAATTCTTAGTGATTGCATGAGGGGCAGCTGATGCTACCGGTAGCAGGCCAGAGCAACAGTGCATGGAGAAAAGTCTCGATAATCGAGTCCCATTGCAACAGTCAAGCACCTATCTATGCTGTCTGCCTTTACAAACATTCGTGAAAGAATGAGCAACAAGTCAGTTTGTGAAATTTCTTCCTTAGTACACATTTCATGATCAGCCATGAGTGGTTTGATTGTAAAGTGAAAGTGTTTAGGAACCACAGCAACTCAACCATGAAGTTGTAGAGCAGGGTCACCGGGTGACTGGGTGACTGGCTCAGTAACTGCGGAGCTCCAAACCTCTTCTGTCCTTAACATCAGCACAAAAAGTGTGCACCGGGAGTCATGGTTTCCATGGCTGAGCAGGTCCTGTTGGTGTAATGTGCACTTTTTTCCCACACAATATTTGTGTAAACTGTGGTGTGCACAATCAGATGCCATTGAGTCTTTGATACGAGTTTGACACCTAATCAAAAGCACTAGATATGACTGTCTTCGTGTTTTTTTGGGGGTTTTTTTTGCAACTGGCATTTTTGAAAGGATTTTCTCTCTAAAGGAGAGGGCTTACAAGACTAATAGTCTATTTGAAGCAACCTGGATGTACACCAAGATTTTACAGGTTCTTCTTTTGCCTGTCAACCACCTCTCCACTTATTTTAATGAAATTCAGATTGGTTTTCCAACAAGCGTTGTGTTACATAGTAACTTCTGCAGGACTTTCTCTTTGTTCCTGCTCTGGGTTAGATCCTGGTTTAACTCTATCCAGCTGAACTCTGAGGTTGTTATCCTTTATGTCTTAAACAGCCTTGACTGCGCTCTTACAGGTCAGGTACTTAATTAATGCCTCATCAATCAGAGCAGGCTGGTCTTTGGAGAATGGCTGCATTAAAGCAAACCAGAAGATTTTCGAGGGTTAAAAAAGTGCTGCAACAACAAAAATAATGTATTTCTTGCACTATGAAAGCACATAAAGCTATTCTGGTAGATCCCAAAATGACATTTTAAACCTTTAAATGTATTTAAGATGGCGATTTTAAGAGGAGTGAACTCATAGGTTTAATATGCAGTGCATACATGCGCGTCTGTATAATGTTTTTGCATGAGACCGTGAGGACCTGCCGTCACGTGGCTACAGCTTGACTTTTCCCATTAAAGTTTTCCCACCAGTCGCAGGTGTTGACCGGTCGTCTGGTCCCTGTTTGGCCACAAATGTCTGGGATGTGTCAGGCCTTCCTCAGCTTTGCTCCCTTTGTAGTCTGCAATGGGAGGCTCGTTTTGTCTTTGTAGTCATTAAGCAGAACCTTATTTTGGCAGCCACCGTGTTAGAGGGGACAGGTGATTTATAGCGGAGGGAGCAACAGGGTGATCCCTGCCATTCGTTTCTTTTTTGGGGGGGATGGGGGTTTATTCTGGATGTTTTTATGGCGTCTAAACACACTCTACAGTCTATTAGTACCCTGTGCGCAGGACTCGGAGTCCAGGATTAGCGATCAAAAGACTGATGGCGGGGGCACTGGGGTAAAAGGTTGGAGGTAACATTAGCCCGGCCTGCCCAGGTGGCGTGGCTGGAAAGAGACTCCCATATGTGGTGTAGATGGGTCAAACGTGGGCTGTGTGTGTGTGTGTGTGGGTGGAGGCTTCCAGCATGCTGTATGTGGAGCCTGTGTGTGCATGACTTTTATGGAGCATGCTGAACTCCGTCTAGTTGGATCTGAACCATAACCGATTAGATTTCAGGCTCAGAGTTGTGACCGCTGACCTTCTTACAAATGAAATGTGGTTGATTTTTCCGCAGCCACATCTCACCTTCACAGCACTTGGTGTGCCACTGCAATCTACTTCACTTACTCTGAAAAAAAAAAAATTAAAATCACCCTTTTTGCTAAAGTTCCTGTGAGCAGTTTTGAGGAAAAATGAGGAAAAAGACAGAAATTTAAAAATTGGGTTTTAATTTTGCCTGGGCAGTCATCCTTAGAATTAAAAAATAAGGGAATTAAATAACATTGAACAGATTTCAGTTTTGATTCCTTAAGATGACCTTTTACTGAAAACTAAATAGACTTTGTTGGAACGCTGTATACCTAACAGGTCATGAATGTACTGAACTGACACGAAAAGTCATCATTATCTGAATCTAATGTTGAAAATACTGGTTTGCTTTGCTTCCTGCTTTATATTATGTAAGTTTAATATAATGTGTGATGTAGGTGTAGAACTATTTTAGCTTTGGTCAGTTTAAATGCTTGACGTGTCTTTTACGACCTGCTGTTCGGGACATATCTAACAACAAATTTTGCAAATTTTAAATGTAGCAAAAAAACACACAAGAGTTCATTTTTTAAAATTCAATAAATAGGTTTATTCTTATTGGTAATCTTACAGCAGTCGCTCACAGTGTGGTTTCTAACCATTTATATGTCTTGCTGGCCATGACACAGCTGGTGGTCTCATATGTGGGTGGCCTCATCCTCAGTGTCCGAGTCATGTGGCAGAGAGAGCTGGGCTTCAGGGAGGTTGTTGCACTGCAGGTAGCTGAAAACGACTTGGACCTGAACACACACACACACACACACACATCAGGTCCATGGTAAAAGAAACACACGTTTCTAAGTTTTCACACACCTCAGAGCTTTGAAATGTATTTCAGTTCAAAATTTTGCACAATTTCTGGAAACTGAAAACTGATGATATCATTATGTCATACTTTTTTGGAGTTTCAGTCATTGATCGAGTCACGAGGTGTAACTGAATAGTCTGAGCAGCCATAAAAAAGAGCTGCTTGAATTCCCTACATACCAAGGAAAGGTAAAGTTTCCTTTACTACCTCCTTTAGCACTGGATGCACTGCACTGCATCCAGCCAGCCTTCATAGCAAATCAGTCAAAAAACCCAAAATGTCCCAAAAATTATCAGAAAAATGAACAAAGTGGGACAGATCTTATAAATGTTAAACAGAAGTATGTTTCCATGTTCACACTATAGCTTTTTAGTAGCTTTTTATTTTTTAACAACAGTTTTTTAAACCCAGAGGTGAAATATGAACAATAATGAAGATGCTGCCTCTTCAGATCAAGCTTCTAGCTCATGGGTAGGCAACTCCAGGCCTCGAGTGCCGGTGTCCTGCAGGTTTTAGATCTGTCCTTGATCCATCACAGCTGATTTAAATGGCTAAATGACCTCCTCAGCATTTCTTGAAGTTCTCCAGAGGCCTGGTAATGAACTAATCATTTGATTCAGGTGTGTTGACCCAGGGTGATATCTAAAACCTGCAGGACACCGGCACTCGAGGCCTGGAGTTGCCCACCCCTGTTCTAGCTTATATCAAAATTTCTTTAAGGTTTGCTGTAATTGAATTTGTAGTAATTAAGTCTACTGCTCTATTGCCAGCATTAAGAATATTTGTTAATTCATTTTTACATCAGGTTAGCTGGTGTAGGCTTGAGCCCCCAACCTCTGTCTCTGAAACAGACAAATAGAGACAGACAATCATTCTCATCTGTGGCTAGTGTCAGATCATTGGGTAACCCAACATGCATGTCTTTGGTGTGTGGGAGGACGTCGGAGTACCCATAGAGGGCCAACATACACACGCCACACAGAAGGACCCCAGCTGGTTGGTGGATTCAAACCTAGGATCTTCTTCCTATGAGATCAGCGTGCCAACAAGTTTGGTTGAAGTAAGAGGGAAATTTTGCAGACTGCTTTCTGGACATTGTAGTTTCAACACGGTAAAACATCTGGCATCATACTGTTTCCTGAGCTCTTCATCACACATTTCATTGACCTAACAACTTTTTCCATTGACACCAAGGAAAAGGAGGTAGGAAGTCGAGTTTGGACGATATGATCTTATGCCTGTTTTCATGCAAATCTCAACTTGTTTCCCACTCACCTGACCTGTAGTTTATATACTCCCAGCTCACAGTTGTTTAGGTTTGATTTCCTGATTTCTTTTCAAACCATGCCTTTTTGGTAAGTAATGCTCGCTCTTTACTCTGACATTTACTTTCACCTTTCATTTGTTTTTACTAATTATTTCACTTTGGCATTAATTAATCAGCAGAAAAAATAAAATAAATAAAATACAACGCATTTGCAGACATTGTGTTAAACACGGCCAATTCCAGACATCAGTCTTTTTCTCAGGTATCCACTCACCTGTACCACCACCTCCTGAGAGATATCCACAGTGGGCCCATGGTGTCCCTGCCCAGCCACTGGGGGGCGTAGGAGGCTCGGCCCAAACACAGTGGCAAGGTTTATTAGAGACATCTTGTTAATGTGTTGCCTCTCTGAGATTCTGGAAGGAAAAAAAAAGATTGAAAACATTAAAAAGTTTTAGGCACAGACTGAAAATATCAGCTGATTTGTAAAGATAAAAAATAAAGTTTATATTTCTTACTTCCCTGTATAAGGTGTTCTAGTTAACTGACCATTACGGCATTTTGTGCAGTTTGTTTAATGAGCTAAGCGGGTTTTTTTTTTTTTCATATTCCTACATATTTTTAAAAGTAAGCATTTTTCAGTTTTAACTAGCAGAGAGAGCAAAATCCACTCTAATAATTATCCTGAAGGTTAAACCAATATAACCATGTCATGGGTGAAGCTGTGGTGCCTGATTCATACCGTTGGAGGTGATGCAGCAGGTAGAGGAAGGTGTGGCGGTTGGCATCAGGGCAAGACTGCAGCAGGGACAACATGGAGACCAGCCGTGGGTTTTGATCCTGGATGTCTACATGAAAATCAGCCAGGATGCAGTTACCTGAGTAGCGTCTGTGAGACTCACAGGGCATCATTTAAAGGTGCTGTTCATGTCATTAAAGCTTAAGAAAACAGGGTTATTGTTCACTTCTGCAGTAGGAATTTCAGGGTTTATATACAAACCCCTTTTCCCCTGTATGTAAAATAGAGTTTATATAAAAGATGGACGCTCCCCATTAGTTTGTATGGTGCCACAGTGAAATCTCCAAAGCATTTTGACTGTTGCCATATGGTGTTTTGAAAGCAGATGTGGTGAGCGAGTGGTGGTTCTGACAATTAAAGCATGTTACACAGCACAAGCAAAGCTTACGAAAAAATTTACCGCAGATGTCATTTTCTAATCATTTTTTTCTGATTTCAATTTAAAACATGCAGAAGACATAAAAGAATAATGTGAAATATTAATAACAATGCTAAATAATGTGGCAGCAGAAGCTACTGATCTCAATGCTCTTTTCTTTACCTTAGACATTGTTAAGGTAAAGAAAAGGCGGGTAATAAGGATGCACCAAAACGCGCGCCATAGATACTTCACCTTGTGTGTTATCCTCTTGTTTTATTCAAT